CATACAACTGTGGTAAAATATAAAAACGTTACATTGAAGCTCCAATTTACCCACACTAGTCCTGTTCTGCTTCTTTTTCCTCGTTTCATCCTTTCTCTACTTCTCTTGATCGCAATTCCATCTGCCACTCTCTTTATTGAAGACTCTTTTAGGTAGTATGCATTATGACGTCTCTGCAAGAATGTCAATTCTGTCGAATATACATTTCGAGAAGAGAACTTTTGATATGCTGAAATCTGCTAAAATTTCTTACCAGCAAATATGATCACAAACTATTTCATATTACTGTAGACAGGCATCTTTCCCGCATACCTATTTATGTAATGATGAGCACAGGTGATATTTGCACTTACATTAGATTTTTAGTTCCAAAACATTCCTTCCTACTACATTACCTATGGCCTGGGAAAATTTGGTTTTACATTGAGTTAAACTATATCAGCTAAGCTGATTGTTCTTACCACAGAACTAGACCAAATAATCAGAATTGAGGAACGATAAAAGTCACAATATTTTTAAAAAATGTGACTATAGACTGTAACGTTCTGAGATCCATTTATATTTCTGATTCTATTCTTCGATCTATCCAAAAATCCCAGTCCTCTTAATGGATCAGTTATCCTGTCAAGCTATCCTCTTAAATACTTGTCCTAGTAACTCGAATTAATCAATTATTCACACAGTAATTAAACTCTCCATCTTCCTGGAACTTGTTAAGGAAGTTCAGAAGACAGTGGTTAAGCCACCTGTAAATGTAGTTCGTTTTCTAAATTCATGAATCTGAGTGGTTGCTAGAGTTTAACTTCTCCCTTTTCTGAATGTTGCTCATGTCCTTTACATTATTTGTTTAATTTTTTTCTTCGTTAGTCGAACAAACATGAGCCATCAGATCTAAAATAGGGTACAGAGTGACTACGGGGAATTTTGTTTTACAAAAGCAGGTAAATTGCTTAGTTCTCTCAATCGATAGGAATCGATAATTGAGTCGGCCTAGCCTCCGTTAAGTTAAACGTATCCGATACAATCCTTTGATACACAGTCGTGACCTAAGCGTACAAGTCTATTGTAACTTTATTATTTGGCCAAAGTTATTTTATTGCTAACGCCCAATAGAGAGACAATCTCAACTAATCTCTATTTAAGGCGTATTACTTACTTAGTTTGAAGCTTTAGTTATTTAAGAGCTACAGAAATAATACTCTTATTAAAGTTGACAATCAATAGAAAAAAGGAGTCTTTTATGCAAGATATAAGGCATACAGTATCACCGTAAGAAATTAAATTGATGAGTCACATTTGGGTATATTAAGAAATACACACCAAACAGACAAAGTTGATGGGCGTTTAAATCAAAATGCAAAAATATGATTGGTTAATTGTCAGTAGACCTCTAAGTTATAATTCTTAGCCTCAACTGAATTTAAATGAAAATAAAAGTTTTCCAAAATTATTAGTTCATTATTTTACTAGTAGGTTTTAAGCCCAGAAAAAGACGCAAGGTTAGATATTAGGTTAGCGAAACTACTGCAGGAAAATCAACCAATCGATACAGAAACTTTAAAGAACAAAAAAGACATATTCTTCGCTGGAATCAGTTAGACGAAATGACGTCGGCAGATGAAAGCCTTGCGGAAGGCAGTTGACAGAAATATTTTCTTTCCATGCAAACAAAAGTAAGCGTAAGAACATGAAAAATATCTGAATGATGTTTGAAGATGTGAAAATTGCTCAAATTACAAAAGAGCTGAAAAGATATGGTATATAAATGCTTGGAGTTATTGAGAATAGATGAAGTGAAAGTGTAATCTCCAGGCTGCTAACCAGAGCGTCAATAATTTGTCCGCTGAAGCCATATGTTCCATTAGGAATCTAATGTTTTCCGAAATGGCAGTAAAACTCCTTTGCTAGTGAAATGCTTAGAAGAATCCATTTTATTTACACTTCAGTTGGCGATATTTTACTTTGATGATTATACGAATGACAGAAAATGGTGGACAAACTACTACCTATCATGTAGCTGAAAACTTTCATGACTTTAATACTCTCGATGTTCTAAAATGTCTTAAAACACTCAAGCCCTCACGTAGCCTAGGTCCTGATGGTATACCTGCCTATGTTCTAAAACAATGTGCAGATGTGTTGTGTTCTCCACTAACCAACATCCTAAATGCCTCTTTCTCCAAAAATATCGTACCTGATGCATGGAAAGACATCAAAATTGTCCCTGTCCCTAAACCTGGAAACGGCAAGAACGTAAAGTTCAGACCCATTGCCATCACTTCCCCGTTCCTAAAGCTTATGGAAAAACTAATACTTCTTAAACTCGAACCCTCCCTTAAAAACTTCGAAGACCCAAAACAATTTGCCTATAGACAGGGTAGGAGTACATTAGACGCTGCAGCTGTCTTACACAACAACATCGTCTTATCATTAGATAAAGGTGCTAAATACGTCCGCTGCACGTTTCTTGACTTCACTTCTGCTTTCGACTCTGTTCCTAGATGTCTCCTGCTAAATAAGCTCTCTCTGACAAAAACTGAGTCCTGGGTCACTAACTGGTTGCATTCCTACTTCTCTAACAGAAAGCAGTACACCGTATACAAAGGTAAATCATCCTCTGCTGCACTCACTGAAGCCGGAGTCCCCCAAGGCGCTGTACTCTCCCCACTTCTCTTTTCTTTCTTTCTACATGACTTACCATCTTCAAATGACATTAATTTTGTCAAATACGCTGACGATCTGTCTGTATCTTTGCCTATCAAATGTCAAAGCGACTGCTCTAAACTTAATGGCTTTCTGTCAGAAATCAGCTAGTGGTCCAAGGAAAATGGTCTTACTCTAAACCCTTCCAAATGCCAAACAGTCAATTTCACCTTTAGGCATAAATCCGACCTAAACGAACTGTTTGGCTCTCACGAGGTATGCAACATAGATGGCACTGAAATAGAAACTAAATCGGAAATTAAATACCTAAGTGTCATTCTATCTGCTGATCTCACCTGGTCGTCTCATATCTTAGCAATTTCTAAGAAAATATTCCGTCTTACCTTCTACATTAAGGAGTTAAAACATTCTGGTATAACCCAACCCTTACTCCTACAATTCGTTAATTCTCACATTCTGCCTATTATTCTCTATTGTTCCCCTTAGTTTTTCCTGGGCTACTGAAGAAAGACTATAACATATTACGCAGGATGTTAAATGTTGTCAGCAGAGTAAGCAACGTGCCACTTAACCAGCTTGCTAATATTTTGGTTGACAGGCACATGGACTCATGTGAAAAATGGGCCAAGTCCATTTTATCTAACTCACACCACCCTCTTCACTCACAGCTCTCCCCTTGCATCTCATCAGGTAAAGCCAGAAGCCTATATAGAAAACTATATGCTCGCACTAGCAAGTACAAAAACTCAACCATACCCTACTTAGCTCGTGTTCTGTGTGATAAAGAAAGCATTAGGCGTGACACCTATAATTCATTAAATAGTCAGTAGTACAACTGGATCTCATCTTTCCAACCCACTTCATCAATAGGTTCAACATTTCCTTTCTTTCTGTTCCTTTTCTCTCTCTTCTTTTTCCGTTATGTGCTGCTGTGTTTCTTTCTCTCGCTTACGCCAGTTAATAAGACAACTCCCACTTTTATAACACCTTCAAACACTGTTTCAGCTCTACCTTTGCTACTGAACATACCAATGTATTGTTGTAATAATGAACTGTGGTTTCCTCAATCTATGTAGAATTCTATTTATTGACAATGTACTAACTGGATGCAATACTGTAGTAAAAATGCTGAGAATTCCATTCTGTATCACAAGTACTGTTTTGGAATAAAGCAAATTATTATTATTATATTATTATATTAACATGATACTGAGCACCAGTCAAAGCAAAAACCAATCTGGATTAGAGTCTCCACAATTTAGAAGGAAATTATTTGTAAGATTGATTTCATTTATTGCCTTATCAGGAACTTGTGTAATGTACCGATGAATACATTTTTCTCAACTGAATGTGAGAATACGGATATCCTGTAATTAAGATTAAAAGCTAAGCATGAATCTGCTGTTTGATGGTATACGATTAACTACCAATTTCGCTACATAGTACTGACTAATTGATATGAGTAGTCTGATGCCACCCAAATTTAGTTCGAGTAGTGTAAACTTAGCTAATTCGATCTAATATATTACCAGTTCGACCAAGTAGGCAGCCAGAATTCGTGTAGTTTGTGCTAATTTGGCTCTCTGAGATGATTCAAACTGGATACACGTCTGACAGGCTCAACCACAAACAAGCAAAGCGATCTCCTAGTGTATAGATCACTTCGATTTCCCTGACTAGCAAGCACTCCGGGTTGATATGAATGGTATTCAACTACTTGTGTCAGTCCATCAATAGTTAATAATATTAGTCATTTCTGCTTTGCTTTCTTGTTACCATTTGTGATCTGAATAATTTCATTTTTCAAAAAAAACTGGTGAAATTTTACGTCTATCTGTATAGAATGCAAATCGTGAATCTGAGCCTGGAATTCCCCCTACAGTGTTGCGTAACTCCCTCCATTTGATTTAATATCGAAAATTCACTAGCACATAACTAATCATATTTTATTATTATTATTAATTATATCATATTGATAAACATTGTTTAAAAATAACAACAGTTAAAATCTTCTTTTTTTTAATGTCAACAAACATTACGAAAATCATTTTAATTGTTTGAATTACTTTTCTTTGGCAAACGTAATTTTAAACTTCTCCGAAATCAAATTTAATAATTGAATAGATGAATTATTTGAATTATCAGGCGGGCATCCCTGCAGTTTAAGGAATTTTTAATCATTCTTGATAGTAATCATCCACCATATTTAAATATGTGATCCAAAGTTTTGACTTCTTTTTTCTGTTTAATTAGAGTGTATTGATTGCCCCAACATTCTTTCTTTCTATCGTCAATTCGATATCATTTATTATAGAAAAATAACGCGCATAAAAATATTATATATTCCGAAGTGGATCATGTGCTCTAATTCTTGGCGCTTCCATTCGACTATTTAAATTATTAACTAATTCTTCAATTTCTTTTTCAAACATTCTAAACATTAATATTTCAATTGATGTATTATCTGTTTTTAAATAGAATACTTTATTTGTACTACGATCAGGTAATGCTGCTTCATCTAATATCTTTTTAGACATAATAAATCTTGCTTTACGATAATTTTGCAGACCACGTTTTTTTAATTCTGTATCAGCATTCATTTCTAAATCATTTAAACGTTCATTAATATATAATTCAAATTTACTTTGTTGTGAATCATATTCAATTAAAAATGCTTCAATAATAAAAGCCAGAACAACATTTAAAACAAGTAATACACATATCCAATGTATAATAATAAAAAATAATCTACTCCATTTTGTTGTGATATCTGAGAAACCATCAACAAATATATGCCAATTATTACCAACTACAATAATTAATAATAATAAAAAGGAATCTAATGCACTATTAAAATTAAATGTACAATAATGCCATTCAACAAATTCACTATTTAATAAATATGGATTATTACATGTTGTATCTATTGTATAATTATAATTTACTGGCGGTATATACAATAAACCGAATAATTCCATAGCAATACATGAAAATATATAGAATAATATTAATAAGATTGCAGTATAAGCAGCTAATGATGGTAGGATAGTTAGAATACAATTAATAACAACACGAAATTGTGGTACAACACTAAATACTTTAAGTAAACGAAATAAACGTAATAAGAGAAAAATTTGTATAATAGAACCAGGCAAATAAATGCCGAAAGAATAAAATATTAGCTGAAACACCTGTCCAATTAATGCACCAAAGACAATAATACAATCAAATAAATTCCAACCATCATTGAAAAATTTCACTCCACCACAAGCTAAATAATTAACAATTAATTCAAAAATAAAGCATATTGTAAATATAGATTCAATAATTTCTTGAAATTGTGGATATGAATGAAATAGAATAATTGTAAGTGCATTAGCAATAATTAAACAGGTGAAAAATAATTTAGTAATATTATGTTCAATATAATATACAATCAATTGAAATCTAGGCGATGTATATGTATCATAAAATTTTGATATATATGTACTAAAATAAGCACGACTTAATTCAATTTCTTCAAATTTTGCTTGCATATATTCTGAGAGACGTTCAAATTCTTGTTTACCTAAATATCCAGATTTATTTTTATCTAATACATGAAATATCACTTTCATGGAATCTTCACTTCTTTGTGGTTTAACAATACGCATTAAACGTAGAAATGTGCCTTGACTAACACCTTGTCCACCGTCTGGTGTCATTGTAGATACTAAATTAAACGCTTCATCTAGTTTTTCTTTACGTTTCATAACTGTTTTAACAACAAATTCACCTAAATGTGCTTTATATGAATTATACACTGAAGCTGTTAATATCCCCATAAATAACCAATTACATAGTGTACATATGAATACATAGATAAATATATAAAAATTATTATATTCATAAGCTGGTACAATGACATCTGGTGAATTTGATGTTGTTGTTAGCACATAGAATTGCCATAGAACATCATTGAAATCATTGAAATACATACTTCCATCAGGATAGGTTAATTTTTTATCACCAATTAATGCCAAGGTAACAATTGATATAAATATTAAACATGCACCAAATAAACCAAATACAGGTAATACATCAATTAATGTACGTCGTAGATTATAAAAAGCAGCACGTAATCTTCTATTCTCTGGAAAAGTTAACAGCAGTACAGGTCGTAGTGCTCTTGACCATCTTACTGGTTTCCCGATATTTAATTCACTAAATAATATATAAACAATAGCATCAATTGTCATTGTAATTAATATTGTAATTGTCATTATCGAGGAAATATTACGTTTTAATTTCTCCTTTTCAGAAATAGCATATATGATATACCATCGATAATAGAAATAACCTTCACAGAATAAATTAATTATTAATGGGATATAATAAGGTATTGGTTTATCATTTATCCATATATTTGGTGGATATTCAATAATAATTGTTAATAGATTGAGTACAGTTAAAAAATAATATAATGCAATATACGGTTTACTATAATACCGTTCATACATTTGTACAGAGAGCAGATCTTGTTTAAATTTAATTTCCAGTCTTGATGCACATGCATCACGTATTAATGTTGAGCCTAAAACAAAACGTCTTGCACGACCACTTAAAAATTCCTCGTCTTCTTCCATTATTTTTTTTTAATTTATACTTTTTATATTAGTGGAGTTTCCTTTCAATATTGTGTATAATGATGTATACAAGCAAATATACTGTAGAATCTAAGATAGAAAGAATTTAAACTGAATACTAATCAATAAATAAAGATAATAAATTATAGACTATATTACTTTTTTATTGATTTTACGTCTTAGTTTAAAAAAATCCTTAACATTAATAAATTACTTGTTTAGTGGTTATATGATGTTGATGTACAAAGTTATAGTAAACTAACTTGATTAACTTTAGTATTCAATAGAAGGTTATTGGTAACAGGATTTCATCTTGAGCTGACATCAGAGTACTGGAGAACTGTTTCGTCCTAGTTGGGGACTCCTCATCAGTACGCACACACCGGGGTTCGAACCCAGGACCTTCTGGTTACAAGGCGGGCTAGCTCGTAGACCATTAAGCCACTGGGACCCGATCCAGTGGCCAACCCATGAATTCTAACTTCTGCCAATTCACGACATAGCGCGACCACTAGCCAATGTCTTCGGCGAGTATTTGTCCTCACACCCGACCTGCTGCATCCTACTGGTCACGACTTATCAGGTTCAACAGTTCAATAGTCGCACAGTGCTAGATTTCGACATGACAGTGGTCGATCCTGCACAAATGAATTATTCGCTGCAATGCTACGATATCAACTAGCTAAAAAAAATTTCGATGAAAGCTGAACTTATGTTTTCAAATGAAAAATTCGTTCAGTAGCTTTTCTTACTTTTGCTGTCATTACTTAAATGTAAAAATTTGATAACTTTCTTCCTCTCCCTAAGGTATTTACATTGTTATTATTGTTTTTGGCTATCTTATTATTCTACCTCTTAATTGTTGCGTCAACTGTCTTCCTAATTTTAGCTGACATTCAATTTAATATTACATTTTCAATGCATATTATCACCTACATAGGCTTCTGAACTGTCATCTACTGACCTTAACAATTTGATATAATTTTTAGAAAAAACATCAGTATTGTCAGTTACAGTTATCTAGGCAGCATCGTTCCAACTGCCGGGGGCTGCAAAGATGATAATTTCAAAGGCAGGATCACGAAAGCAAGGCAGACCTTCATTATACTGAAATCAGTATGGAAATCTGCTGCATTCAGGATAAGGAACAAGATCCGGATATTCAACACTAATGCAAAGTTAGCCCTCCTACATGGTTCATGGGGAAATTTTCCAACAGGTTGCACACTTAGCTATATATTAGACACCAGAAAACCGGCCAATCAGAAAGAATTAGCAACAAGGAACTTTGGCAAGTAACGAACCACCAAGAACCTATCGCCCAATAAATATGCAGAAGAAAATGGAGATAGACTGGACATAAGCTGGAAAGATCGCTGAATGACGTTACATGAGTGTGGTCCGAATGGGAAATAGGCGTTGGTCCAAGGGTGAGAAGGAGATATAAGCCTGCATCCAAATGTGAAGCCAGCTAAAATAGACTGAAGAGAGCAGAGTGAGGCGGTGATGTGCTACTGAATAAGTATATCTCTAGAAAGTGATGAGGAAGTTATCGAAAAGTGTACTCTCGGCTCAATGTTTTTGTTTTCAAAATGTCAAAATGGAGATTTTCCTAATAATTTAGGTTTATAATTTCACCATTATCTTTGTTTATCTATCACTACCATTTTTAAACATAAAAACTTTATACATAGAAATTTTTAGAAGTGTATAACACAAAGGTGAACTGAACAAGTGAATATCAAATATAATAATAATAATTATTATTATTAATAGAGACGACAAACAATAAAAGCAAAACTGAAAATTCTCTGTCATTTCAAACATTGAGTAAATTAAAGAGTAAAAATATTTGCAGAATTTTAACGAGTGAGTTACACAATGCAAAATTTTTGGAAGAAATAAGAAGAGTAAGTGAGTTGTAGATACGCCTTGCTGACGACTGCCAACTAGCGCGAAACTTAGGTCCAAGGTTTCCTGCCGATTGCCTCCAATCATCCATTCTCATCAAATCAATGTGCATCGTGATGGCAAGCCACCTAGAATGGTGGCCACATTGCAAACCTGAGTGAGAGAGTTCAGTCTGCACGAAAGAAAAGACTAGACACATCACACTAGTTACTAGTGTTCAGTCAGAGTAAATGAGTGTTCAAATTGATTGTGTAATAAACAATTAAAGATAAAGTAGACAGAATAGTAAGATAGTTGGAGCGATCATAACTTGCAAATAGTTTTGGAGAAGGAAGGGGAAATTGTCATTTTTTCAACATTCATGTAATGATACCTTAGGTAAGGAAAATGGTTGAACAAATTTGTTTTGAACAAATAGATCCGGCTACTTAAGCTATATTTAATAGGTGAACTTGTAAAGGAAAATTGAGATTTGTTGGAATACAATATACAGTCATTAATGCTTTACTAACATCAACTTTATGTTCATTATCTGCAGGGTGTGCTAAAATAAAGTCACGAATTAGACCTTTTTTGTCCCTTGCTCAACCATACACTACGACTTTCAGAAATTTGATGTAAACAGCTCCACGGGGGCAGTTAGAGTGGTAGGCAGGTAGTTTATCCTTATATCGGGAATATAAAATTTACGTAACTATGAAGAATAAACAGTGTATCCCTGCTGGATTGAATGATATTTTTACTGAATTCTTTAGACTCTGATTTATTATTTCACTGGTGTTATCACCTGAGAAACTGCTATACTAACTTATCATAGCGGTAACATTTGTGGATAAACATTTTTAACACGTAACTCACTGATAATCCTGAGCTGTTCATTAAAACAATCGTTTGAGAAGGTTACTGCAGCTCTAGCAGCACAACGCTTAACTAAATTGCATTCATACACCAAAAGTGCAAGACTCAGAAACACCTGTCGATTTAGATTGTCCAAATGTGCTACTTCTTCTAAATGCCCAAACAAGGATAATTGCTATATTAAGGTAAGTCTTCATAGATTCACCTTGACTATTTTATTTGTTGTATTTATTACAGGAGACAAATAAATTTGAAGATTAATGACTTCGGGAATACAAAAGAATTGTAACCAAACCCCATTTATGTCATACCATAATTTGCTTTGTTTGATCTGAATTTTCAGTAATGGTTGTGGGATGGTCTTACAGGGTGAGGTTGCTAGTCTTACGTTCAGCTTTCCAGGCTTAAGATAATTCAGTAAACTGGAGCCAGGAAGGAGGATTTCAAAGGCAGGGTCAGAAAGGCAAGATAGGCGTTCATCACTGTAAAATCGATGGGTAGATTCACAGCGCTTAATATATTTATAGATGTTAACGCGACACAATTATATTTTTGATTGGACACTAGTCAGTAACTAGTATAATGTGTCTAGTCCTATCTTTGCTGCAGACTGAATTCTATCAGTCAAGTTTGCAATGTGGCCACCATGTCACCAGGTGGTTCACTATCACGGTCCACTGTGAAATGAATTGTTGGTATTAGGTAGTTGGAGACAATCGTCAGGAAGCCTTGGACCTAGGTTTCGTGCTTGCTGAACCTCATCAGTAAGGCGCATCTGAAATCTTGAAGGAACTCATGTTCCTTCTGAGATTCGAACCCGCGTCACCCAGTGTTGCAGTTAGAGACGTTGTCACTGAGCTATTCAGGCTCGCAATTGACCTCCCGTAGGACTGTATTGGATATTTTTAATTGGACACAATTATTTTTTACTGTGAATAACTTAAAGTGATTGATATTCTGTGTCAAGTAAAGTGAATTTGCAAACAAATGGTGAATACGAAAGCCAAATCACTGTTTGGATACTAAAATTGATATTTTAGTATTATGTTTTTAATAAAAAAATCAATCACCTTTGTATTACAAAACACACTGCCGAATGATGTTGCCTTCAAATACGAAAGTGAACTTAAAACTGAAATTTTTCAAAAGAAAACCTTCAATTATCATCAGACTGGTAAACAGAAATATGCAAAACTAGGCGTCATACATTCAGTTCTCAAAGTTTTGCGGATTCTAATGATATCACAAACTGGGGAATTCTTCATTCATTGATTTAATTTCTTACATATTTCGGTACATGGATGTCGTAGATTTCTGATAATTATATTCAAGATTTCATGACTGAACTACATTCTCATAATAGTTCTTTGCATTACATTTGCACATGTCAAGTGATCCACAACGGAAAACTCAGCGAAGCGTTTGGAGTAAACACAGGAGTCAGACAAGGGTGCTTATTATCACCAATGATATTCCTAATTGTGGTGGACTGGATTATGCGTCAGACAGTGGGAAACGAGAAGACAGGGATATCCTGGACCGACGTGAAGAACCTAGAAGACCTGGATTTGGCGCTTGGATGATTTATGTTTGATGTCACACAAAATCGAAGACTTACAAGCAAAAACCGACAAACTGGTCGAAGAAGCAGCAAAGACAGGACTCCAGGTGAACATAGACAAGACGGAGGTTATGAAAATAACCAACCAACAACAGCAACAACATCCAGTGCCAATCACCATCAACGGGAGGGATTTGAAAGAGGTTACTTCATTCACTTATCTAGGGAGCATTGTCTCAACTACAGGAGGAACGGACGAGGATGTCAAATCGAGAATCGGGAAGGCGAGAAACATATTCATCAACCTGAAACCAATCTGGAAATCTTCGTCACTCAACTCAGCATCAACAACAAAATTCGGATTTTCAATACAAACGTGAAGTCAATTTTGCTATACGGATCAGAAACTTGGCGGGTCACAACGAATATTTCCAACAGCCTGTTTCAGACCTTTATCAACAACTGTCTTCGCTCTGTACTGAAGATTAGATGGCCAGAAAGAATCACAAACAAGAAGCTATGGGAACAAACGAAACAGGAACCAATCGCCCAACAAATATGCAGGAGGAAGTGGAGATGGATTGGACACTCGCTGAGGAGGCCGTTGAGTGACATCGCGCGTCAGGCCCTCGAGTGGAACCCGAAAGGGAAGCGACGAGTGGGACGTCCA